TATATATACTATTATTATATACTAATATTATTATTATATCACTAAATAAAAAAATCACCCTAACACTTTCTGTCGATATCGCACGAGGGATCTCCCTCTACTCTTCTTTGATGGCTTGCTAGGCCACATGGCAGAAGGATTCATTCATCGCTGCTCTCCACTTCTCCACATGAAGCTACCTTCGGCTCGATTGCTCAAGTTCAAGCGTCTGCACTAGCCTCCTCTGCTCGATACTGACGCTGCAGTTGATGCTCTTCTCTTTCGCATGCAAGTCTCGTCTCCTCTACACGCATGAAAGCTCCTCCCTCTCGTTTTCCTTCACCTCAGAGAAGCTGCTCCGCTCAATAGGTAAGTCGCTTGACAATTTATAAGGCGAAATTTCACCTCCTTGGCTTCCCGACACTCATCGTTTCATCTCCCCTATATTCAGATTTTGACTCCTCGCCTCCACCCCACTGTTCAACTCTCCACTACCTCTTTGGGCTCTTCATTTTCCCTCCCTCTTTGGCTCTTCGATTCTTCTGCCCTAATAATAGAAACGAAACGTTACATTCTCACTGACCCGCGCTTGAAGGAGCTGCACCCAACAGATGTGTTAAAATCAGCATGAGCTAAATGTCTACTTGCAATGATGGTTAGTTCACTGGTCAAAATTTGCTGGATCACCACCGTGGTTGCAAAAATATCAAATAAAGTCCTCACCTACTGAGCCGACTATGTCGTCGTGTGCCTCAATCGGCCTTCCTTCGGTCGCCACGACACATTGGGTCGGAACAATCTTCGCCCGATCTTCAGCTTTGGTTTTCCTTCTGGTCATTCGGGCAGCAACTTCCAAATCTCGTTTGACTTCTTCAGCGTAAGGGGTGGCCAAAGAATCTGTCATCATTCGACAAAAACTTTTAAGGAACAAGCCCAGATTGGCATACTAGGGAATTGAGAGCAGTTGTCCATCAATCTCATCTCCCTCGACTAGGGATTAGTCTGTACCATTTTTCTTCTTGAAAGCATCCCCAGTCAGCACAGTTCTGATGCCTCAGCTCTCGGAAGTTGAGGCAATGAAGAACTTTTACATCCAAACTTTCACCATATGTTATAAGCCTGAAAACTAGAATCGAACAACTGTCCTGAACTGTACGTATCCATCAGCCCCCACCTAGAAAAAAAACATAGGACTGAACAGATCGGTCAATCATAAGATTCCATTCCGCCAGCAAAAAATTACATAGGTCATTATCACGGCAATGGAATTTGGCTTGACCTATGCAGGGATGTCCCATATCGATTGAAAATCGACCTAAGTTTCTGACAAAAGGGCAGCCACAAACCAGACCTATGTTGATCTCTAGAGTCCACCATATTCTCCAAACCTATCAATTGTCCTCCATCCGAGCGAGCGGTTCTGAACCTAATGGCCAAGTCGAAGACAAAGGACTACACCACGAAAGCTATATCAGACAAAGACAAAATCAATCGCTCAGTGGCAGCTACTAGGCCAAAGGTTTGTGGAGTCCAGCTCGGAGCAATCAAAAAATAGAAAGAACTCAAACGGAAGTAAAGGCTGGCGATTGGAGAAAAAACCAAACTACAGAGGTTCAAAGAAAAAATAAAGCAAGCGCCCAATATGAACACTTCAACCCCTATTTATAGGGACTCAACAAAAGTGGAAATGCAGTGCAAGAATTCAAAAAAAAACAACACATCAACACAAAAATTAAGATATAAAAAAAAAGTAAAAATGTTTTCATTCCGAAAATAATAATTACACTCAGACTCTAGTCTGACAGCAAATATTTTACAAATTGGTATTCGGTCTCCTCGACCAAAACAAAACCCTTCCTAACTAACCTTCAATACAACATTGGATTGTCGAGCTTAAAGTGGTTTGCTCGGTCGGCCTCAGAACAAGCCCTCTGTACAAAAGCATCTTCTCGGAGTTCGATCACTTCTTGGGAAAGATCAACTGCCTCCCCTTGCATCTCCTCCAGCACCAAGTAGAGATTCTCCTCTTGTCGAGCCCAAGCAACTTACATCTCATCCCAAGGGACATCTGGCGTCACTCAGCCACTTCCTCCCGAATCTCCACAGGGTCGGTCGGGCGGTTGACCATGTTCTCCTCATTGACGATCGATACTTGGAGCATAGAAGCAGCCAACACAATTGAATCTCAAACGTACCAACAATCGGCAAAGCCCCAATCCGAACGTCCTCGTCTATAAGAAATAAAAGTTTATAAAAAGTAAAGAGCATAAACAAAAACACATAGGTAGAATTCGATCCACCTCGGACCAGGTAACTTCGCCTACATGATGAAATGTCATCAGACGCTCGTTTCTCTCAAACCGACTGATCACCTACATCAATTTTGGGTACGCCGGTCGGTTGAGAAGCGGTTGCAATCTCAGCCCAAACCAGTACCTCAACATGGACCTCAGTCGGCAGGGCAGCAGTTGAACCACCCAACTCCTTCCCAACACTGAGTTGGCCCTTCTCTAGAACCTTCCGGGTCGAATCCAACGACTCCTCCTGTTCTACTCACCCAGTTGGCTTCGGATTCTTAGCCACCTTTTTCTCCCACTTCTTTGTCCTCAACTCGCCTTCCACGTGGCGCTTTACTCCAGGTGCAGCCAGCAGCTTCACTCGATCGACACATTGAAGCGCTAAATCAGAACCTTTCTCCACACAAGGAAAGCACAGAAGCCGAGTGGATGCAAGGAGGGACAAACTCAATACACTGAGAATTGTCCACTACGCCTTATATATAAGGTTCATGGGCACGAAAATTCAGGGAGTGTAATCATTGCATTAAATTATGACTATTAAGATTTAATTTATTGAATTAAAATTTCATTGTCCTTATCGCAACTAACGCTATCAAAAAGCAAGAAAATCGTGGAACTTAAAATATACACCAAAAAATAATCTGCATTAATCTTGAGGCAATTTAACTGTCAAGACTAAAAAAGATAAAACGAGAATCAACGCTCTACAAGTACGCATGAAGCCAACGGGCTGAAGACAACAAGTCAGCCGACCGAAGGGCTGAAGACCGATTAAAGGAAATTCGATAGACTGAAGGCCAGTCCGACGAGCCAAGGGCCACTCGGGTCAACAAGGGACGAGCATCTACGTCTACAAGTATCAATCCCCCAACAAGTTCACAAGTATCAACGTGAGGCTCTATCAGCAGATCCCCCAAAGATCGTCAGAGAACACCAAGGAATGATATTGTGGCAAGCCGGTTAGCTACCACGCTCAAAGCCGACATACTTCAAAGCGAAGGCCGGCCAGCATCCATACTAAAAGGTGTCAAAACTAGTTATAAATACAAAATGGCACAAACGCACTAAAATGCAAGAATATCCTGTAATGTCTCTGTTAAAGCAATAGCAAACATGTAATTTTATATTTTTTGCCCACTATCTCCTATAAATAGGGGGTCCATAGCATGTATTAGTGGCTTTTTGGCTTCTTGGCTTTTGGCCTCTATGCATTTTGGGCTCTCTCTCCAGTCCCATACGCCATAAAGAGAACTCTCTCTTTTTCTCTTGTAACACCCACTTTCAACATATAAAATGGGTCATAAAGCGCGAGAATACCTCAATTCGCCCCTAGTGGCAAGTTTGTGTGTGCTTTTTTCCTTATTTCTCCCTCTGTCTCTCTCGACCTCTCCCTCAGTTTATACCGCTCCAATCCTTGGGCATGCCTTATAGAACAAATTTGGATTCAACATATCCACACACACACTCCATACACAGGCATACCCTTCCATCCATACACATGCATCCATACAAATAGATTCATGTGTATGGATGGATGGGTATGCTTGTGAGCGTGTGTGCGCACGCGTGTAGGTGCTTGTGTCTATATGAAAGATAAATAAATAGCACCATAACACGGAAGTGAGTCTTGAAAGAAATTGTGCATGTCTATATGAAAGATGACTAAAGGGCACCATAAAATGGAAGTGAGTTTTTAAAGAAATTGTGTGTCTATATGAAAGATGAATAAAGAGCATCATAGTATGGAAGTAAGTTATTCCAGGCAAATTACAAGAATACACAGTTGGATACTCATTATGTAATCCTTTTAATTGGATTATAAAGCTGTGAAGTGTTGTGCATTAGTTGTGTACTCCAACTATTTTGAGTACAAATCAAGTACACAGCCATATTCTACATGCATAACTTATGGAAATAAAATTCTCCAATTTTCAAAGCAAACTAGTAATAAAATAAAAAAAAAGAGAGTACCCAATAAATGGAGATCCTATCGATGCAAGGTACATAGTGAAGTTGATGAATGCAACTACACTCATGTATTGCAAAGTGGTTGTTTCCATGACTCCAACCCATGATTGCACTACCTCTCAAACTAATAAGAATACCTAATAGTGAAAAGTGTGCACGTTATTTTTATTTACTCACTTTTTCTAGGGCTCGTCTCACGCAGTGACAGAACATTTTAAAGCTTAATTTTCAAATTTCTTAGCTGTACAGTTTCAAGAAAAACCATGAAGTTCTTTTTCCTTGTGTTAATTATGCCAAGCTACACCCGACAAGCACAGTTGTTACCTGGAAAGGTAAGATCTTCTGCTTCTCACCATCAAAAGCAACAATTTCACAATCCAACACAAAGGAGTTTACTTCAGGCTTCTTAAATCTGCATTCAAAAGTGGTTATCATGCAAATATAAACTCATTAAAAATGTGAACGATATAATGATATGCTAAACCAATTACAAGCTTACAATGCACAGATTAAGTGCACAACTGTAAACAAAATTCAGAATTGTACAAAAGAAATAAAATTGTTTCATTTATGCATATAGTAAAGCTTTTAATCGTAACTAAAAAGGTAAAGGTTTAAACAATCGTTGTCGTGAACAACAACTATAACACAACAAAGTAAACCCATGCAAGCGAGTGATTGAAACAAGAAGCAGTTATCAATATATTAAAACTAGAATAGCTTAAAAAAGCAATGGATAAATAAATGTGTATGCAAATTATAAATAAGGTAAAAATGCAAAATTAAGTTCCATAACTCCATTCAAACTGGAGGAATAATATAGATTGACTCAATCCTCAACAAAAGAAAAAGAAAAAAATACTTCAAAATAAAGTCATGACACGATGATATTATAGTTCAACCTTGACACAGAACTGACCACATCAGGGTACTTTCCAGTATTTCGTTCAGCATTACGGCTGTATATCTCTATGGTGCCATCTTCCATGTAATGTATCTGCAATTCAAAAAAAAACCAGAAAGTAACTTAAACATGTGCACAAATTTATGAAATTCTATAAGAATCTTCCAAGAATGGATGAAACATACCATAAAATTCTCTAAAAATTAATAAGAGAAGTTTCATACATTGCAAATCTTAAAAGAAAATTAAAGAGTCTGCAGCAGTACCTGAGCACGCTCACCATCATACTTATATTCACATGTAAATTCGGTTCCTTGAAACTTATCTAGAATCTCAGAGACTGATTTTGTAGGTTTAGCCAACATAGGCCCCACTGGCACACCCAAAGAGAAATCGCATGCCTCTGAAAGTTTCAGTATCCCAGCATGAAGAAGAGCAGGAACAATTTTACCATAGTCCGGAAGAACAGAATATACTTGTTTCATGATTTTGGCGGCCTAGAGTGCATGAAGATCAATACCAATCACAAATCAGGCTGATTGTTACAAATTAAGCTTAATTATTATTGAAATCTAATCAAATATTCAAATTATGCTAATCCTGATTGTGAATAGACTCTTGAGTTAAGTATTTAAAACATACTAACACACTGATATTCAGCATTCTAAACGTGAAGCACAGTTTAGATAGCTACAAAAACACGGATAAAATCCAGGATTACAAAAAGCACTGAGTTCATTTTAGCAATCTAGTAACGGTTGTGAAAAGACTGTCATTTAAGTGGGGTAAAACGTAGTGACATAATGGTATTCATCTTTCTAAAGCAAAAAAAGTAAACAAACATGTGAATGCCTATAAGGAACCTGAATATAAGTTTACTTAAATTATCTGGGGATGAGATAATGAAAAGATTAATCAATTTAAATGTGCACTTGAAGAAATTTTGACTCGAGGCTCACCAGGGAATTGGGAAATTTGTGGAACCGGTACAGCATTGGCCTGTAAGGTCCAGCCGGCCCTAGGGTGGTGGGCTAGGGGGTTGCAGGTTGCCGCCCAAGGGAGGGACCTCCCCTCCTAACTATCTACTAATATAAATATGTTCTTTTTGCTGATTTGCTGAGTTGTCTGTCAGGACAGCCGTTGGCGTCCCCTTTTCCCTTCTAGGATTCTATCTGAGAACAGGTGGTACTCCAGTTGTATCTTGCTCCGAGGTGGTGATTATCTCTTTCGGTTTTCCTCCCATTTCCCTTCCAACCTGATTGTTGTCGTCTTACAAACCCGATCCCCCCCTGCCGTCTTCCTGTGTTGGATCTAGTGCAGGTTGTCGTCGCAACTACACCGCCCAAGTGTTGTTGCCACTCATCCTGATTGCTTCCGTGTTGCCGCCTCACTGCCCCCGACCTACTTGCTCACAGCCAACCTCTTCCCGCATCTTGCAGGTGCCGCAATCACGCTTCCTACTTCATTCCAGCCTGCAGCCGCCTCTCCCAAACCACCTCGCCACCATACCACCAGCTGTCCTACCTCAGCCTTCGCGGGATATTCGTGTTTGCTGCATTTTCTTTCCTGTTTTGACTCTTGATTGTAACTTCTATTGCTTCTGCATAATAAAATATGTTTTCCTATCAGAGTTTGGGATAATTCCGGTATCATTTAGAATCAAAGTTAGCCTAACTCTAGTCCTACCTTAGGGTTTTCCTTGAACCCATCAAAACATAGCCAAATTTTTATCTAACTATGATTTTCCCTTGTCGATTTTCAAAATCAGCAACCCTAAATAATTTTTCTACATCCTAAATCAGCCCCATACACCCTCTTTCATCTCTCAATCCTAAACATATCAAACCATAGCCAATCTTGAATTAACCCTAATCCCCTTGCTGATTTTCAAAATCAGCAACCATAAAAAATTTTCTGCACCCTAAATCAGCCTCATACACCCTCTTTCACTCTCAAACCTAAATGCATAGCCAAATATTGACCTGAGCCCGATTACCCCTTGTTGATTTTCAATATCAGCGTCCCTAAATACCTTATCTGCACCCGCAATCAATCTCATACACCCTCTTTCACCGCCTAAACATAAAACCTAGCCATGCCACCGAGGAATCAAAAGTCGGAAGCCTGATAGAGTGGAAAGGACACAATTTCATTTATGAGGAATTCACAAAGAGGGATCCAGCAATTTTTTAGAGAAGATATGCAGAGAGAAATCTGCCAACTATAACAGAAGTTTGTCACTTTCGAGATGAGGCAATCCGGACAACAGTAATTTGCCAGATTGAAGGAATGGAGTGAATCTCTTCCACCATGCCGATTCTAGGGGATGAAGAGCTTCCACCTTGAAAATTTGACTTGAAATATCTGAGAAACCAGAATTTTTAAGTAAAAATGGATATGTCATATTTTGATGGTAACATGAATCCGGAAAAATTCATCGAGTGTCTCTAAACTTTGGAATGTCTTTGAGTGTCAGAACATCCCACAAAATAGAATGGTGAAGTTGGCCGCCATCAAGCTAAAAAGGAATATTATTTTGGTGGCAAAATCTAAATAACAACATCAATGTGAGAGAAAAGATAAGATCGTTACTTGGTTCAAAATGAAATGGGAGAAGCAGCATCAGTTCCTAACAACTCACTACAATCTTGATGGTCAAGCTCCAGCTTCAGAAGTGGAAGGACCACATCACGGGGTGACCGCAACATCTCACATGTAAGGTTCAACCCCTGGATCTTACAGCTAGAGTACACCCAGAGGAACGTTCAAGCTAACCCCGCCCGAGGAGACATTAGTTCATAGTAGAGAATAACAAGCACCAATCCGCATTCCCAAATATATCCCAGCCATGAAGTGTTTCAAATGCCACGGATTTGGGCATGTTGAATCAAAGTGCAAAACCAATGGGATGATATATTTCACTGAGCAGAGAGTTCTCGTTGAAGAAGGCAATGACACCGTTGCCACAGAAGAAGGTGAGGACACAAAGATAAATGATTGCATTCCAGTGGATAATGAAGAAAAGCATGCAACTCTAGTTGAGGGCATAAGGGAGCCTCCAACAAGATTCACATCGGTGGTTTGAGATGGTCCTAAGTCTGAGGAACCGACACCAAACACACCTAACAACCTTAGATAAGAGAAGTATAAACTTTTCAAATAGAGAGGCTTCCTCCTAAGTTGTCCCTACCAAGGGAGGTCCAGCTTGTTAAATAGGGCCCTTCTATGTCATGTCGGGAAGATTACATTAAGTTGTTTAAATGTTAGATTAAGTTCAACAGTGTACCCACCATCAGATGTTCATACAGGAGAGATGACCACAACTTTGAAAGTTGTCGTAGGAGCTTGGAGGGAATAAAATTCTTCGATGGGATCTAGGTACTATCAATGAAAAGAAAAAAATCTCTCCGGAGTAATTTCTAGTGAGAGTAGAGCAGTCTGCCACAGAATTTACCCCAAGATTTCTCCTCACATACTAATTTATCAGCTATATTCAGCTGAGTACAAGAAGTGGAAGAATAAGGGTTCAAACTTAGGGGCTCAATGTTACATTGCAAGAACATATATCAATATGCAGCTCCAGCTCAAAATGTGCCAAAAAATATGCATATTTATTCTATCAAGACATGTTATTGAATGAAAAATGTCTACGAGACTGACCTACCGGGGACTATAATATCTTTGATACTTTCAATGTAACAGATTTGAATCTGTACTACGACGACCAATAAGCTTCAACGAATGAGGTCAAAGCTTCCCACAACCCCGGGAGACTGACCCGAGGCTCATCATGGAAGAGTTGAACATGTGGGAAAGTTGTTGAACTGGTTCAGCATTGGTTTGCATGGTTCAATCGGTCGTAGGGTGGGCTAGGTTTGTTGCCCCTCGCAACTATCTACTAATATAAATATATTCTTTTTGTTGATTAGGGCTAGTTTTTATTGAGATTTTTTGGCAAGACAGCTGCTAGCATCCCCTTTTACCTTATAGGGATGTATCTGAGGACAGGTGGTACTTTGGCTATATCCTATTACAAGGTGATTATTATCTCCTTGTGTTTTTTCTCACCTGTCTCTTTCGACCTGCTTGTTGTCGCCTTACAAACCCAACCCCCTTGTTGTTGCACCACCCAATTGTTGTCGCTACTCATCATGTTGTGGCCTCTCATCCTGATGGCTCGCGTGTTGCCGCCTCACTGCCCCCGCCCTACTTGCTCACAGCCAACCTCTCCTTGCACTCTGTCAATGTCGTTGTAGCCCTTCCTGCATCATTACATCTTGTCGCCCCCTCTCCCAAACCACCTCACTGTTGTACTACTGATTGTCCTGCCTTCGCCCTAATAGAATATTTGTGTTTGTTGTGTTTTCTTTCTTGCTTTGAGTCCCGATTGTAAACCCTTGTTGCTTTTGTGCAATAAAATATGTTTTCCTATTGGATTTTGGGATAATTCGGGTATCAAATTTATTTTTAAAAAATATTGTCCCTTGTAATTTGAGCATCAGATCATTAAGAAAATAGAAATCATGCTCATTCAATTTTGAGCCATCTAATTTCTCCATAGAAATTACAAATAGTCATTTTTTAGATCATAGTGTTGAGATTGAAGGGGATGTCATAAAAAATCTTTAAGCACGATAGAAACATTAGTCGACCAACATGTGAAAAAGATCAAAGCTTCAATTGCTATATCATTGTTCACATTTTATATTAGAATGCATTTAATTTTTAAAACTTGTTTTGAAAAACTAATATTTTAACATTAATCCAGTTGGGATAATTCCTGCTTGAAAGATTTTTTAAACTATAACTTGTCTATTCAATTATTGTAATTTCTTTTCTTTTTGTGGAGTTTGTTTATGAAATCTTGTCCATGTTTTTGCCTCTTTAAAAACTATATTTCCTGCAGAAAATTCAATAAAAAATCAAAACTATCCCAACTAAATATTTTTTCCAACCTTTTCTTCTCTAATGAAATTTCAAGCCCTCTCAGATACAGTTATGTAACAATCATGATGATCAGGCGCGTCCAGTGTTCTCGTCTCTTTTGTGTGAATTTTATTGTTGCCCGGAGGTTTTGAAATGGGGATAGAATATAGCAAGACACACTTAAGGGGGATTTTGTTAGGTCGGTGCATACGGCTCTTTCCTCCACATCAAGTCCGTCAAATAGTTTGAAGACTTATTTTAGGTATAAGGCTAAAATGACAATTTAATCATTAGTTGGTTATTATTGTTTGGTATAAATAGGACATAATATGATTAAGATGAGGGTATGTGATTGTTATCTGGAGTATTAAGAGTTAGAGTTTATGAAAGAAACTTACCTTCAAATTTTAGGCTTATTTTTATATATTCGGGATTGTATTGTTTTATTATGATACCGATGGAATAAAATATATTATTTTTGCCCTAATTTCTATGGAAACTTGTCTCGTTCCTTTGAAATTGGTATCAGAGCCGTACCAGGAGTAATGGTGGCCAAGAAAGAGAATATCTTGGAAAAGAAATTAGAGGAATGGGTGAGCCAAATCAAATCGGGAATGAAGGAACAATTCTCGTCCATGCAGGAGCGGTTCTCTTCCATGGAGGGATAGTCTCGTCCATGGAAGAAATGATAAAGAAAATCGCGGAATCAAACGACAACATCTGGAGAGGCTCGAGCGACAGCAACCTAAGCGGATCGCATGGTAGAAGGGTTAAGCGAGGGACAGTGTCATTAGATTAGGCGAACCTGGGGTAGCGGGATCGAGCAACATAATCTAGAGTAAACACGAGCGGCAGCCAGAGGAAGGGATCGTGGGACCGCAAGAGGCATGCAATGAGCGTGGACTTGAGCGGCAACCGCAAGAAGGGAATGTGCGATTGCAAGAGGCTTAGAATGAGCTAAAAAAGGGTAATGGTGTGTGATTTAGCCTGGGAGAAGACTAATTCAAAAAACAATTGGCCGAGAAGAATCGCACGGGCCGCACGGCACCAGAAAGGTTCAAGTGAGTGACATCATGCGAAACAAGATGGTGGCATCCGATTTGGGCCTTGAGAAGATCATTTCAAAGAATTTTGACCTGGAACAAACAACCACGGTGGGTGGGCCCTGGCCAAGAGCTGCATCCAACTGCGCTAATGTTGTTTGTTGTGGCAACCACAGCAGTCCTCAGGCCGAAAGCCGATTTAGGAGCCTATGGAGACGAACGAACAGACGATGGCGCGAGCGAGGCTTATGGAAGAAGGGAAATAAACATGGGTTGGAAAAGGAACCCGACCACCGCTTCATTGGTGGAACAAGTTTCGATTGGGGAAATTAGGGAGAAGACCCAGGCATAAGAAAGTTGAAGGTGTCGACCTTTGAAGGAGATGATGCCTACAATTTATAGAATGTAAATATATTTTTTTGTTAATGGGCGATGGAGGAAGAAAAATTAATAGCGATGGCCCTGTGTTTGGAAGGGAAAGCTCTACTGTGATATCAAAAGAGAGAACATTAACCAACTAGAATATGGGAAAAATTTAAGGATCTATTGTTGGAGCGTTTCAGAACCACGCTAGTCCTGAGCAATTTTTTGTATTGGTTCAAGAAAGAACCATCATGGATTATAGAGAAAAATTTGAGATGATATTCAACTGTTTGAAAAGAATATCTAAAGCAGTATTGGATGGAAACTTTATGAAAGGGTTGAAGCCATAAATACAAGCAGCGCTTCGTCTACTAAGACAATGAGGATTGAAAAAAACTATGCAATTAGCGCAGTTGATTGAAGATAAAAATGCAATTAATTGACCTATTAAGAGCAACACAAGCGGAGCATTGTATCGAAATGTTGCAACCATGATAATACCAAACCCTCAAACAGTGGGATTCTAGAGGGAGGCTCCATGAGAGAAAAATAATGGGCCACTATAGAGGGTGATATTCAAAAGACTTACCAAGACAGATATTCAGATTCAGAAGAAGAAAGCCAAGAGATTATATTTCCATTTTGATGAGAAGCTTGTCTCAAGCCACCATTGCAAGGATCAGACCTTATGGGTTCTCACAGTGTGTGACATGCAAGAGATAGAGAATGAAGAAACATATGAGGTTCTGGCAGAAAAGGAGAAATAACACACTCAATTGGATTTGGCAAAAGTCTCATTGAACTCAGTGTTGGGGTTAAGACCAAACCACACTATGAACCTTCGAGGACAGATCAAAGAGCAGTACATAGTGGTGTTGGTAGATAGTGGGGCCACCCGCAACTTCATACATATTACATTAGTGAAACAATTGAGAATTGAGATTGTTCAAACGGGAAGTTTTGGACTAATAATGGGTACGGGACAGGTGGACAAAAGAAGGTGAGTTTGTAAAGGGGTGGTCTTAATGCGGTAAAGCTCCACGGGATAGGTGGAGAAAAGCACGTCACTTGGAAGTCTGCATGTTTAAATAAGGAAATCAACATCAAGGACAAGAAATTTAAAAAAAAAATACATGTATAAAGTCATCACCGATATTCCAGCCGCTAAATTTGCATTAAAAATTTGACAAATACATTACTAAGATAAAACGAAAGTTCCAGACCTCTTCCAATGACTGAGACAAATTTTTCACAGGTGCACCCTGAAGTCCTTCTGAATACAGAGATGCTTGCCCAAGAGCCACAAGCACTGTTTTCTCTGCCAAACCTATTCTCATTTTGGACTGCAGAAGAGTTTGAAGATCTAAAACTCACTACGCAGAATGAGAATGGGAATTATTAATACAAACAACAGCATTAAGAGATTTTTAACCTGAAGAAGGCGAATTATGTATAATGGCTCACAATCAGTAGCAGCAACAAGAAGACCTTTAATGTAATTTCTTTTCTTGTCTTGACTGTCTTTTCCAGACTCCTAATTTACAGGAGAAACAAGCAGATAAGATTAAAATAAGTAGCAAAACTTACAAATACACGCAGTCAAAAACAAAACATGCAAATATATCGAACTCCCAATTATTTTCTGAGTTTACAAGCCTTGAGAGTTTGTAACCTTTGCAATGGCACGAAAAGTGTCAAAAACTTTGACGACAGTCAAACGCTGAGGCTTATATAAAACTCTCTGTGATGATCTACTAGCTTTAGCAACAAGGCCCAAGTCACCTAATTCCTACCATCGAGCAACCTTCACAAATCAATCCATGAAAAAAGAAAACAGAGAAAATGCTTTGGACGACTAGTGCACTCCGCCAACCTGTAGCTGCTTATTGACATGCTCTTCCTTCCTCCCATAAGCTTCAGCGAGCGCCTTAACAAGTGAAGCATCTCCTATTCCCAGCTCGATGCCCTCATGCGGGGGAGCAATCCTATTAGCCGACAGATAAACCGTGGGGAGAAGGTCATCAGGAGTGGTGGCCATAACAGTGCGGAAGACGTTGCAGATGATGTCCGTGATCGCGATCCTACCCGACTCGTTCGAGATAAGATCTAGTGCGCGAGCGAGGAAGTTGAACGGCACCGGGTCGCCGTCTTTCCATGATGCGGCAGCTTTGGGGTCAAAATCGGCGCCCTTTTTCCTGAGTTCGAGGAGAAAATCGGTGGCTTCCAACTTCTTTGGTTCGTCCGAGACAGTTGAGGGTTCAACTGTTCTGGGTTTTTTGGGAGTTGAAGAAGGGTTCTGGGACTCGGATGATGAAGAATGGCGGTTCTTCTTAGCTGCTGCGGCGCGGGAGGCGCCCATGAGGACATCGGTGACCGTACGGCCGGACGCCATTGTATGTCGCTGCGAAGAAGTGGATATAAGAGAGAGTGGGGTTTTGTTAGGGTTTTTGAGAAGCGAAGAGAGATCGGAGGTAGTAGGAGATGGGCATCGGAGGGAATGGAGTATGTGTACTCTCAAGAGCATGAAACGCAGAGACGTAGGAGGACGCAGGGCGCGCCGGCGCAAAGTGTGGACTTCTGGTGTGTTTGTGTGAATTATGTAATGGCGGGATAGAGGAGAATACAGCAAGAAGTACATCAAAATTACAAAGGAGATGAATTTTGGGGGAATTCATGTTCATGCCACATAATATTTGTCAATTTACTTATTTAATATTTTAATTTTAATATTTGTTTATATAATATTTAAATGTTTGATAATACTTCAAAAATGTGGCTAATATAAACTTTTCTTAAGTGAATGCACCTTTTAATAGACACATTTTGATATTATTATAATACTGAATTATTTGTAAATATCATAGTTTTGATCTTCAATTTGTAAATAGATAAGAATTGTATGTTAAGTATAAAAATTACCCTGAAATTCAATATTTTTTACTTAAATTTCAATTAATTTGAATTAAATTTGTTATTTTTAATTATTAGTGACCAATATAAATAGAGATATATATATTATACGTTATATACCCTTGTATAACATATAGTGGATAAATATTTGTTATTTATTTTATTATAAAAATATGTTTTTTTTTAGTTAGTTTAAATTCTAAAATTAAAGAAAGAGACTATGTAATTTTTTTTATCTAGACCTTAGTTTACAACACAAAATTTTAAGCCAAATAAGTATAAATTAAAAGAAATCTCTCTCATGATCATGAATGATCCTTCATTTTCCTAGGCAAAGTGATGAGACATTGAAGAAAATGAGTGGGAAGGAAATGGCATACTCTTCAAGTTTTTCTTCTTAAGAAAAAGGCTGTGTAAGTTTTTGGATCAAGAGATAAGAAAGCACTTAAGATTTTCAAGTGAGAAAACAAAGTGCATGAGGGTTTTGGAAATGCAAGAAAGATAAGTGGAGAATTTTGGCCAAATCCATGTAAAGAGAACATTTTGGAGCTTTGGATTTTTAATATGACCTCTTGCATGAAAACATTTGGATGGAAAATAGTTTAGGAAGAATTTTATGTTTTGGAACTAAAAATATATATATATAATATTAAACCATGAAGAATGTGGGTAGCTATCCCTATTGAAAAATTTAATTGATTTAAATTTCAAGCTTAAATTAATTTTGAGGGATCTACTTGAACTTAGGTGAAAAATAAAAGAGATAAATTATTTTGAATTCAGGATCCATTTAATGATTTACTAACATAATTGAATAAATTAATTAAATTCAGTTAAAGGAGGGAGGGAGGGAAGGTCAAGGAGATTTCTAACATGATTTGATTTATTGGGAAGGCCAACCAAGGTGTTTCCATGTCTATACCCTATGGTGCCATTTTTACTGATCATCATAAGCTTTAACCATGGTCCAAGCCTTGGTTAGCCACCTTAACCCAAGCTAAAGCCCAAAACCGTGAGCCCCCACATGGTTAAAACCCAAACTCATGCCAAGAGGTCACCTCAGCCCAAATTGACCTGAGAGCTCCTCTTCTTGACACCTAAGCAGTGGGGCTAAGCTCTCAATTGGCCAGCCAAGCTCCACATTGGCCAATTTCTATAAAATCTACCCCTCACGGCCATGGAGGAGTGTGGTAAAAAAATTTTCACTAAGGCCTTTCAAACTCCTCTGAGAGCTTCCTTGAGAGACCCTTAGCACATTCCAATCCACTTCCCCCTCTCAAAT